TAGGCCCTGGCCACAATGTAAAGCCTAAACACAGTTTGAAACACAGTATAATGAACACTTCTCTACAGATGTCAATTAAAAAAAAACAAATAGAGGCAATACAGCACATCATGAAATATCTTTGCTCATAAACAGTTGGTTTGCAAAGACATGCCAAAAGAAAAAAAGTCCTTACATGTCATTAGAACAGTGGTTCTCAACCTGGAGTCCCCAGATGTTTTTGGCCTTCAACTCCCAGAAATCCTAACAGCTGGTAAACTGACTGGGATTTCTGGGAGTTGTAGGCCAAAAACATCTGGGGACCCCAGGTTGAGAACCACTGCACTAGAAGGACATCATACGTTTAGCCTTTTTAGGAAAGGGTTTACAGAGTCTTAGTAGCAGCCAACAAGAAGTCACTTTCCCTTGTTCCCACTAGATATGGATGATAGGATGGAGTGAATGTCCTTACAAGCCAGAAAGGTTTGTGTGAAGATAAGTCTATCTGGTGAGAAATTGTGAAGTTAAAAAATGAAATAACTAGGACATCATAAAAGCTAATATAGTTATGCATGAAACTTGATCTAACAATGTTTTATTTGTTTTGGGTTTTTTTTAGGATGTTGGTCTCATATAGGAGATCCCCAAGAGTGCCACTCAGAGGAATGTATAGTAACAACAACCCCTTCCTTGGTTCAGAATGGGACATATCGTTTCTGCTGCTGCAGTACCAACCTGTGCAATGTCAACTTCACAGAAAACTTTCCACCCCCAGATCCGATAGATGCAACATCAGTCTGTAAGTCAGAGTGCCTAAAGATGAATTATGAAAGTATTGTTATAATTTTAGAAATGAAAATGAAAGACAGTGTTTTTTTTTTTAAATCAGTCTGGAAAGTTTTAAAAATTAGTTTTCACATAGTGTTTTATCCTAAAAGAAACACATATATGGTTCTTTGTGTCCTGTGTAGCATTACTGCATTATTAATCACCACAGCATAGAACTAGTAAATATCACAAGGGGATAAGGAGATGGGAGGAAGAAGCCTTTCACTGCTGCTACTTCACGCTTCCAGTACACAGGGCTTCTTCCCCCCTAAAACACTCACATCCCTTTCACATGGAATTTTTTCAAGCCAGGTGTCTCTCATTCTATACCTATTTCATTTTTATTGCCTTTAAAGTATACTGGACACTTCTCCCTGTTGAAATGTATTTTGTTAGTTTTGGCTCAGCTCTCTAATCTGTTAAGGTCATTTTGGAATCTGATCCTGTTTTTTGGGGTATTAGTGATCCCTTCCAATGTGGCGTAATCTGAAAATTTGGCAAGCATGCTCTCTGTGATAAGTATTACATTAACCTGATGGTAGTGATTAGTTAAGCTGTCTAAATATCCCGAACCCTAGAAAGCTGGAGGAGTCAGATCAGTTAGTGCTTAGAATTATACAGATGCTGAACGCTGTATAGAGAATAAGGCAAACACACTCTGAAGAAATAGTGAAAAGAAATCCTTTTGGTTGGGGAGGCCATAAAAGAGCTGACTGGCAAGCACATAACAATGGGAAGAATTATAAATTCAATAAACAGAATAATGAAATTAACTTCCCTCTGTTCAAGTGTCTCTTGCTATTTCGGCTTATTGTTTTCATTGTAATTTGTAAAGGAACTGACCAAGAAAATGTGGGATATTTGGGACTTTATATGAAAATAAATAAACCAATACTCTTCTTCATATTGATGGAAACTGAAAGTTGATTTTGGCGGGTGAGTAAGTGAACTGGAAAATTCACTTTGTACTTTACTGTGGCTTTAGTACATTGATCCACAGTACATTAGTGTTTTCAGGGTGGGTTTCTCAGAAATACTTCCTACATTATCAGTATGAATTCTTAAAATCTTGTAACAAACCCAGGTTTGAGCATCATCATCTGTTTTGTGAATAGCTGATTAATTATTTTATTTATCTTATTATTAGATTTTTAATTATGATTGAAATTTGTGCTAGAGGGTAGATTAGGAGAGGGGAGAGAATGAACAGACATATAATTGTATTATCTTTGGTTTACGACTAGAAACAGAATAAGCAGACACCATAGTACTGCATTAAAAACTTACAGCACCTGGGTCTCGTATAGTTTTCTGAATGTGCTATCTTGCACATTGGCAGCATGTCAGCAGTATAAAAAAAGATTCTGTTAATACATGGTTCCTTAGTGCAGTCAATTCTGTATGGGCCACACACCCCTGAAAGGCATGAAACAGATTATGTGATTAAGTGACATAAAGCATTGAAAAAATATTCCAGGAGAAAAGCCTGTGGTGAAAGTGATAAATTTTCTCATTAAACCCAGTAATAGAAAATACATGTCAGGATGGTACATATAACCAAACAAATATCCAAGTAATTCTAGAAAATATCAAAATACGTGATTTTGTGATCTATGGTGGGAATGTGCAGCGGCAAAAAGACAGCAAGGAATTAATTACAAATTCCTTTAGTTCCTTTACTGTGTAATTGCTCTTGTTACAAATTCATATGAAAATTTGTGAGGCAACTATGTAACTAACAGTTTTGATTCTGCTTTGTGCAATGCTGCTAAAAGGAAGATATCCATAAAACTCTGGGATGCTGTTGTGTGGCAGTTATATGAGCTAAGTTGTTTCTAAAGGCTAAATGAAGGAAATGGGAAGAGGGGCTGTATGTGCCCTATTAACTTATGGAGAAGAACCTTGTATGGCATCTACATTTGGACATTAAGTTGCAATGTTTCTTAATATGTCGTAGTTTAAGTCTGCCTCAGATATCTCCGTGCATAGCCATGCCATTTGGTAACTCATCTGATATCTATGTAGATAATGGCAGAAATGACAGATTTGGGTCAAGAAGCAATCTAATAATAGAATACAAGATACTGTGATTGCATTAGCTACTTGGAAGGGAAGCTCTTTTTGAAACTATACCAGCAGCAACACCAACAAGAAAAAAGCTTCATGAAGGAGAGAGAATTTATTTCTTCCCTTTCCTTCTCTTCCTTCTTAATGTGTTACTAACAGCACCCTGGAGTCCAGAGAAGAATGGAAAATATACTTCTCTTGAGGAGCGCCCCATTTTCTCTTCCACTTTTTTCCTTTTCTCCATCTTCAATGTGGCAAGCAAGATGACTTTAAAGAGATGAGGAATAACTGGTTTTAATCAGAGCTGGAGAATTGCTTTAGGGCTTTAATTATTCACCTTTCATCGAAGGCAGGGTTTTATGGGCCCTTTAATTTTATTTCTGAACTCACATTCTGGGAATGTTACTGCCATCCCTTCTAACAATTATTGTAGGTGGTTTAGTATATTGTACATTCAGAATTATAATACTACAGTAGCTATTATCTATTTAGTTTGTTTCCTCAGATATTTTATCTGTTTAGTCAGAGTTAACTGGGCTGTTTTAGCAGAAAATAAACCACATACTTGTGTGTCCTTCTGTTGTTTGTTTGTAATGTTAGGAACTGCTAGAAACTGGCTACATTTTCATGATACTGCAATTAACTAAGTCTATTGGTATTGATAGAGGTAAGCAACAACTGTGTAGACTAATGTTTGCCTTTGTTTATACCAGCTTACAAAATTGTATGCTTTCTCATAACTCAAAGTTGAAATTCTCAGGGAAAGCTTCAGACTCAGAAATAAATTATGATACATGTCTGAGCCTGCTTTATGTTCCTTGCAAAGTCTTATTTACTCTCTCCAAACTAAAGCATGATCATAGATAAGACTTTTTTTCAAAATAGGTTAGTTAAGTTGCTCAAATTATTTTCAAAACTTAGACCTACAAACACGAGCTCTGCCAACAATTTTTCTCATTCAAGCACTCACATTTAGGTAAGAAAAATATAGTTAAGATCTAGGCCTGTATACTCACTGTGCTATATATTTACATATAGTGTTAGTGGTTGAAGATTTTTTTTTCTGTCATTATGTTCTCACATCATATAGTCTTAGGATTTAGATTGGCGCACAATCATCCGTAGAGAATGCAAACTGACTTGCATTTATCCTTTTGGACTTCCCCTCCCCCCCCCTTATTCCTGCACCCCAGAGGTCAGCTGCAGAGGGTTGTTTGACCTTCCTGAGAAAGAGTGAGTGCTGAAAGAAGGGAAAATCTATCTCCCAGCAGCATATATTCTGATGGTAAACAAACATGGAAATTTTGCTGTGTATTTTATGTAACTCGGACCTAGTTTAGTGTGAGTAGTGTTCATCTAAATTAAAACAATGGATAGGAAGTAGACTTGTTTTACATTTATAATATAGAAAATCTGATCTTCAGCACTGAATAAATGTATGCACCACATTTAAAAAACTAATATTAAATTCAATATAAAAGATGAATATACATGAAATACTAATGGCATTGCTCTGATGGGAAGGCAGTGGCCTTGCTTATATTCTTGTAGTTTTTAACTGTGTGAACAGTTTGCGCTCTGGGAGGAAGGGGTTTCATGCATCATTCATAATTCTGTCACAACAAGGCACGAATATTCAGCATAGCATTTTCAGTTGCAGTTTACATGCCAGATAAGAGACTAATATATTCCTCATACCCACATCACAAAAATATTATTAGTGTTTGTTGTTGTTAAGGTGATTTACGGCAACCATGTGAATGAGAGATCTCCAAGTCAGCCTATTATCAATAGCCTTGCTCTTGTCTGAGAGACTCAGGGCCATGGCTTCCTCGGTTGAATCTATCCATCTGGAATGAGGCCTTTCCCTTTTTCTACTGTCTAAGCATTATTGTCTTTTCTAGTGAGTCATGTCTTCTAATGGTATGACCAAAAAATTGTATATGCTATAGAATCCTTTTATTTGCCTTTGTAGCAATACATGGTATCCATAGAACCCTTTGCCACAACTATATTTGAAATGAATCGGTTTTCTTCTTATCCAGCTTTCACAAACATACATAGCAATTGGAAAATCAGTGACATGGATAACTTTTCCAAGATCATTCATTTGGATTTCTACGGCAAAGTGGATTTCCAGATACATAGTCATAGAATCATAGAGTTGGAAGAGACCTCATGGGCCATCCAGTCCAACCCTTTACTGAGAAGCAGGAAAATTGCATTCAAAGCACCCCTGACAGATGGCCATTCAGCCTCTGTTTAAAAGCTTCCAAAGAAGGAGCCTCCACCACACTCCAGGGCAGAGAGTTCCACTGCTGAACAGCTCCCACAGTCAGGAAGTTCTTCCTAATGTTCAGATGGAATCTTCTTTCTTGCAGTTTGAAGCCATTGTTCCGTGCCTTAGTCTCTAGGGCAGCAGAAAACAAACTTGCTTCCTCCTCCCTATGACTTCCCCTCACATATTTATACATGGCTATCATGTCTCCTCTCAGCCTTCTCTTCTTCAGGCGAAACATGCCCAGCTCTTTAAGCCGCTCCTCATAGGGCTTGTTCTCCAGACCCTTGATCATTGATCTAGACACTATGCTCCTATTTATGCAGGCCAACACTCTATCCCAGGAGTCCTCAAACTTTTTAAACAGAGTACCAGGTCACAACCCCTCAAACTGCTGGAGTGTCGGATTAGAATTTGAAAAAAACATGAATGAATTCCTCTGCACACTGCACATATCCTATTTGTATTGCAAAAAATACATAAAAACAATACAATAATTAAAATGAAGAACCATTTTAACAAATATAAATTTATTAGGATTTCAATGGGAAGTGTGGATCTGCTTTTGGCTGATGAGATAGGATTGTTGTTGTGTGCTTTCAAGTCGTTTCAAACTTAGGTTGATC